TCGTTTTCCAGTCCTGCTAGAAAACTGCCCTTTTCTAACTCCAGATTCACTTCTTCCCATACCAGGGTCTCCTCTCCCCAGACAACTGCAAATCTACCCTAGCCCCTTTCATTCCCAGAGTCATACCTTCTGGCTGATGCAGAGGTTCCCCGCTAGGGCTCCCACTCCCTGGACACACAAGAGTCTTCCCAGCTCTAAACCCTCAGGTCCTTTGTCCAGGGAAGCATCCTTCCCTCCCCCACCAGCCTGTGGACACCAGGGTTCCTTATGCCTCTTCTAGAAGTCAACCAGGAAGTCCTCCGATCTCGCAGCACCAAACGTCCAAGTTGCGCCTGTCTCAAGGGTGGACGTCCAACTCCGGGAGAGGTGGTGGGTCCCCCCATAGTCCAATCACACGCTGGCCGACCACATCCCCTAAATGCTCACCAACCAAACATCAGAGCACTCAGTCCATCGGACTCTCCCCAGAGCAGACACCTGCGCCTCCACCTCACCAATCCGCCCCAACACCAAATATGAGAACTCCCATTATCCCATCCAGCCACAAACTCTGGGATCCTCCTTCCTCAAAACTCTCCCAGCCCCAAACACCTGGCCGTTCCTTCCCCAGCCCTGGAAACACGGCTCCTAACTCCCAGCCCACACTCTGGGCTAGGACGGCCACCAAGCCCACCGGCTCCAAACCCTAGGATCCCATTACCAAGACCCTCCTCAGTTCCCAAGTAGAAAAAAAAAATCTCTTGTTCTTCCGACTCTCTTCGGCTCCAGAAACCAGTTTCCGGTCTCCGAGCCCTAAGGTCCGGAATCCTCCCCACCCCACCCCGACCCTCATCTCCGAAACCGAGACCCCCCACCACCCCCGGTATCTCTCCTGCACCGAGTGTCGGGATCCACCCTCCGGTCTTCCGGAGGCCCTAGTCCGCAGATCCTTTTCAGCGGCGGGTAGCGGGATCCCCCGATCCTCAGACCGTCTCCCCGACCTCAGGTGCCGGACTCCCGTGTCCCACAGCCCTTCCTCGGCCCAGATTCCGGGCTCCCCGGCCCCCGCCCCGCGCACTCTCACAATGTCCGTCCGGACCCGAGTAGCCGCCGGGCTCCGCGTGCGGCTGCAGCCCGGGCGGCGGTGGCTGTGCGGTCCCCTCCAGCTCGGAGCCCCCCTCGGTCTCGACCTCCTCGTTGTTGTGCCCGGGTCGCCCCGGTTCGTCGTCAGCCTCGAGCTCCCGCTCGTCGTCAGGCTCCTCGGCCTCCAACGCCGCCTGCAGCCGCTCAGCAAGCTCGGCCTTGAGGCCGCGAGTGTCCAGGCCGCGGCGCTGCAGCTCCTCGCGAAGTTCGTTCACCTTCAGACGGCGCACATCCATGGCCCGGGCCCCCGGGGTGGCCCCCGAGCCCGGCCCGGCCTCCCAGGGCTCTGTCCCCCTTAAACCTTTCCTGTCAGGAGGCGAAGGGGGAAAGGGGGGGCCCCCCCACTCCAATGGCGGCGGCGGCTCAAAATGGCCGCCGCCGCCGCCTCCCCCTCCCCCGTGCCCGTGCGATGCAACACGTGTTCCAATTGGCTAGCGCGCGGGGGCAACGGCGCGGGCCCGGAGCATCGGCCAATCAGAGCATGGTTTGCAAAAGAACAGCAATGAGAGGGCCCAAGAGCTGCCAGGGAGGAAGCGTTGGTCTACGTCTAAGCGGCGGCCCGAGCGGAGGGCGGGAAAAGGCAGGAGGCGGAGCACGCGCTGGTTGGGTAGCGCCCGCGCGCCAGCTGCCGTAAGGTCAAATGAGGAAAAGGGAGTAACGACTTGGGCCAATCAGCGGTGAGATCTCAGAATGAGCGCCCCCACCACCTTGCCTGCGCAGTTCTTTCATCAAACTAAGTGTCTCTGTAACACACATTCTGATTGGTTTAGATCTCCCGCCCCTTGAGCAGTCCGAGCGGGTAAAATCACAAGAACCAATCAAATGGAGAGTCGGCAGAAACCCCTCCTTCCCGTTGCCTTTAGGAAACCGGAAAGAGATGAATTCACGAAGGGCCCGCCCCTTGCCGTTAGGGCGGTTTCAAAACAATCTGTCCACCAATCGTAGTTATTGTCTTATCTCACTAAAACTAGTATAGATGCATCGTTTTTAGGAAAAGTTAATCAGATTGGCCATTCTTCAGAGGCTTGCCTCACAAAATTCGCTGTACGAGGAGATACACGGAGTAGAGATTAAGTAGATATACTACTCCTCATCTAGAAGAAACCCAGTTGCTTTTATGAAAAGCAAAATTTTGACTTCAGAGAGTGCTAACGGTTTGAAAATACAGGCTAGACTAACAACGAGAGAAAAGTTGTAAAGGAAATTGTCCCCCTCGTCCCCCCGTGGCTGTACACAGGCGCCTCTCCGCGTTCCCAGCTCGGCCATCTCCCCCCGGGGTTGCTACCTGACAGGGAACGCGCCCTGCACGCGTCCACAGAACCTCCCCCTCCAGAAAGACCTCCGGAAATTCGCCGACCGCTATCCTGAATCCTCTAATCGCCTGTCCAGGAAATCTGGCCGTTTGGCGTCTATACGGACAAGCTCAAACACACGGATTCGTCATTAAGCCTCACGCTAATAAACACAAACGCCACAGTTTCACAATGTCTAACGCTGCACCACCTGTGTCGCCTCTAACTCTAAAGACAAAACTTCCGTAAGAGACACAATCGAGATGCACAATGCAGATGCCCACTGCCTACTAAGTCTTATCTTAAGCCCACAAAAGCCACACACAATCTCTACTTAGACAAAGGGACACACCGCACAGATAAACAAATACGCATGAGTCAGAGCAGATGCATCAGACCGGGGTAATACACCAAACTGCAGTGTAGATGTGCCCACTAAAGTCCGCATAAGTGGGCGACATCAAATGATAAAGACACACAGGACAGTTAGGCTACAAGTCTACACTACAGCAACCGAGACACACAGCACCCACTCAGAAGCGGGACAGACACTCACGTGGGCCCGGAGGTTCCAATCCAGACACCCCGCCCCTCGCCCACGTCCGACTTCCTCTCTCCTCCCAGCTCCCCACAATGATTTGTTCTCAAAAAGTTTGTGGCCCGGATTGAACTGTCCCCCGGTTCTCAGGAGCCGCCACCGGGGGGCGTCCGGGCGCTGCCAAGGGTTCCTCCCTCTGCTGCCGGCCACACCCAGGAACGTGTGCCCGCGAGTGCGTGCAGGACACCGTGGGCTCGACCGGCAGGAGTCGCTTTGTGCGTCCGTGATTATAGGAGGCATTCTGTGCCTGTGTGTTTCTATGTGAGTCTGAACGTTTGAGTGTGTGAGTACCTGTTGGACTCTATTATCTCTTCAGTATTTGTGTCATTTTACTCTGGGTGTATGTCTGTGTTATTCAAGTTTCTTCTTATTCTTGGCGGGTATCTGCCTGTGCATTTTGTAAATATGTTTGTATCTCTGTAGTTTTGTGTGTCTGTGTTACTCTGTGTGTCTGAATTTCAGTGTCTTTGTATTTGTGACAGGTATGCCTGAGTATGTCCATTAATTCATGTGTCTATTGCTTTGCGGGTGTGTGTGTGTGTGTGTGTGTGTGTGTGAGAGAGAGAGAGAGACCCTGTGCACATCTATATGCCTGTTGCTCACTAGGAGTTTCTGAGAGTCTGAATTTCTTTGCTTGTGTTTTTTTTTTTTTTTTTCGTTTCTTTTTTTTTGGTCTATGTGTATGTCCATTTCTGCACTCGTTAGTGAGGAGAGAATTCTGAGACACCACCAAGCCCTTTTTTTTTTTTTGCTGATAAGGAAACTGAATTGCCATGGAGAGGGGCCACATCACAGCTGAATGGAAACAAGAGGAGACAGAATTGTGATTACAAAGTTTTATGTGACCTGAGCCCCTCCAGAGGCACCAGAGTCCACACTCTGTACTCGGGGGGTGAGGGACTGGCTCAGGGGGGCAGCATGGCCCAAAAGGAGGGAGATGGTCCATCCCCTGGGGGAAAGGAGGCATCCCTAATTGCATTGCACGGGCTTGAGGGGGGCACACCCCCAGATGAGGGGAGGAGGAAGCAAAGGTGGCTAAGAAGGAGAGGGGCACACAAAAGAGTAACTACAGCGTAAGCTTAGAACCTTGGAATCGTACCGAATATTCTACACCTGTGGACCCTTAGAATCTTAGAACATTTGAGTCTTAGAACTACAGTGCCTAGAGCGTTAAGATTTTAGAAATGTGGATTCTTGGACCCTCAACTATGATCCTAGAAAGGCAGAATGCAGCATAGAACCTAAAGGTGTCCAACAATAGAAATGATTATAACTTTGGTGTCTAGTTAGTCACAACTGTGTGAGAGTCTTATAACTTAGATACATGGGATCCAGAACCTTGGACCAATAGAATCTACAGTGCCTTGAAACATAGAACAGACCAACATTAGAATCTTAGAGTTTAATAATTTAGAATCTTGGAGCATCTGATCTAGAATCTTAGACACAGAGAATCTAGGTTCTTAGACTAAGTCTTAGAATATCACATCTTGGAACATCAGACCTTAGAACCTCCATCTTTAGACTCTTAGAACTTTCAGATTTTAGAATCTTAGACCCCTGGGATCCAGGATCTCATTCAAGAGAAGATATGATCTTAAAGCCTCAGAAACTATAATTGACAATCATTAGAATCTTAGAACTTGAGAAGATAAACTTTTGAAGCCTTATGATCGAGGGTCTTATTATAGCCAGACAATCTAGACTCTAAGAGCCTTAGAACATCAAATTTTAGAACAGTACACCTTAGAATTTCCATGTCTAGAATTATAGAATCTTTAGAATTGTAGAATCTAGAATCTTACACTATAAGGACTCAGAACTCTAAAAAAATAAAATCTAGAATTATAGAGCCTTAGATCCTAGAACTAGGATCTTAGAGCTTTAGAACATACATCTTAGGGTCTTATCAAGAATCCTAGAGCCAGAAAATCTAGAACCACAGAATCTCAGAGCCTTAGAATAGTAGGTCTTAGAATTTCCATGTCTAGAACCTTAGTGATTTAGAATTAGAGACTTTGGAATTTCAGGTCCTTAGAACCAAAGACTCATGGCATCTTTGAAACATAGAACCTTTGAATCTAGACTCTTTAAACCTTAGAATCTAGAATCTTGGAATGTTAGACCTGGGAGGACCCTTAGAGATTGTAGTCCAACCCCTTTCTTTTACAGGTGGTGACGCTGTGGCACAAAGAAGGGGAAGGATCTGTCTGGGATGGAGGTGGTATGGGGAGGAAGACAGGGCTGCAATTGGGGATGAGGCCTGGGATGGGAAAGGGGGGGCGGGTTTCCCCCAGTGGCAGTGCCTAGCTTGGGTCCTGAGAGGGAGTCCCAGATGGAGGGTTGTCTCAGGCGCCATCCTCCTGCCCTGGGGGTGCTGGGGAGCCCCTGTCAGCAGGCAGAGGGGGACCAGGGGCTGTGGAAGGGCAGAGGACATAACGTCCGGCAGGATGGACCTCAGCTGCAGTGAGACCGCTACAGGAATCCTTCGGATCAGGCTGGGTTGGGGGGTCAGCTCCTCCAGCAGCTCCAGGGGGTTCAGGATGACTTCCGCCCTCATCCATGTTGACATAGAGGATTTCGTCAGGCTCCTGGGCAAGGGGCAGGGCTTTCAGCGTGTTCTCCAGGTCTTCTCGCAGCTCTGCAAAACTTGGCCGGTCCCGGGGGTTTAGCTCCCAGCACCGGGACATCAGGGCATACCTAGGGATGCAAAGTGAGGAGTGGGAGACTGAGCAGAGGCTCAGAAAGGGAGTGTTCTGGAAGTTTGGGGATATTTTAGGACACTCAGGGGACTGGGGGCATTTCAGGGGTCTGGAGGGAACCGCTGCAGTTTGGGGGCATCTATGGGGATTTGGGAATTCTTAGGAGTTTCTCAGGGGGTTCCTGGGAGACTCAAGAACAGGGAAGGGTCTTGGGAAACCTTTCTGGTTATGGGGTAGTGTTTTACTGAGGGTTTGCTAGAGCAGGGTGTCCCAGTGTGGCTCCCCAGAACAGACTCCAGCATCAAAGCCTTAGAAGTTGTGCTGGTTTAAAATATGTCCATAAATTCTTTGACCCTCTTCCCTGCAAAAGATGGAGACGAAATCTCCTCCCCTTGAGTGTGGGCAGGACTTAGTGACTTGCTTCCGACTCGGCAGAAGTGACAATGTGTGTGACCTCTGAGACTAGGTCATAAAAGGCATCGTGGCTTCCTCCCTGTGCTTTCTTTTGGATCACCATGTCGTGAGGAAGCTCAAGCAGTGCTATCGAAGGGTCCACATGGCAAGGAACCGAGGCCTCCTGCCTCAGCCACATGAGTGAGCCAGCTTGAAGGTGAGTGCCCAGTCCCAACCTTCAGATGACCGCAGCCCCAGCTGGTATCTCAACAGTAACCTCCTTAGATACCCTCAGCGAGAATCACCCTGCTAAGCTGTTCCCAGACTCCTGACTTTCAGAAACTGTGTGATATAATAAATGTTTGTTGTTTTAAGCCACTAGGATTTTGGTGTATAGATTACTAATACACCAGCAGTGCAACCTCTGTCAAATGATTCACCCTTAATGACATCTATCTACCTCATGTGGCTGTTGTAAAGATCAAATGAGTTAACACATGCAACACTCTGAAAACAGTGCCTTCTAGTAAGTTCTCCCATCCGAGTACTAACCAGGCCTGACCCTGCTTAGCTTCCGAGATCAGACGAGATCGGACACATTCAGGGTGGTATGGCCATAGGCCCTTCTAGTAAGTTCTGTAAAAATGTTAACTATTACTGTTACTGTCCTCGACTCTTGGAGTACCCAAGGATGACTGGGGGAGTCTGAGGCCCCGGCTGTCTCCTACTGACCCAAGCAACATCCTCTCCTTTCCCTCCAAGTGCTGGCTAAATGTCATGCCTTTCTTCACACACCCTGATACTGCAAAGGTTGATAAGCATGTCCTGAATGATCCTGCGAACCTCTCAGAGGAGACCTATGAGTCTGCAAACTGGAGGGTTCTGCAGAGAGGCCTGGATATTGAGCATCTGGGGGAAGTGTGGGGTGCTCAGGAGTCTGGGATGAATGAGAAGTCTCTGGGAGTGGCGGTCCCAGAGGCAGGGCCACCAGGTAAGGTTGTGCATTATACCTCGCTATGTAGGGATACCTGGCTGTGGGGGCAGGGACGGGGTGCTGATCTAGCCTGCACCCCATGCACAAAGCAAAGGCAGAAAGGGCACCTTTAGCTAATTTCCACCCAGTTGCCTAGTAGTAGCCCTACTCAGAGCATTGGTAATGTTAGCACTGGATATGTCAGGGCCATGTGGGGGTGCTCTGGGGTTTGGAGTGAATTCTGAGATTGAAGGAGAGGGTCCTAAGGGTCCTCACAGTCCATCCAGACAGTCCACAGGCTGCTTCAGGCGATTTCCCTGGCGCAGGTAGTCGTAAATCTCACTGTTCTCCACTCCTGGGTACGGGGTTTGGCCCCGTGTGGCAATCTCCCACATTGTGACCCCAAAGGACCACTGTGAGGGGAAGAGGGGAGGGAATTAGAAGGTCTCTCCTGCACAAAGTCACCCCCCAACACACAGGTCCATGGGTGCACCCACACTTATGTACACATGTTCACAGCTATTCCTATGGGCACATCCCAAGTATTCAGAGAAGTTTGCTAGTGTTGGCACAGGTATGAACACGCATATAGGCAATTTTTGTGGATGCATAGACATGCTCACCCTTGCACACATTTACACACTTGATGGACACGTGATCTCACGTGTCACCCTGCACACCCTGGCTGTACACATTGTATGAGTTTGGGCACATGCACGCACGGTCACTTCTGCTTTTCCTAATGTAAACTTTCCACGCTGCCACCATGCACACATGGGTCTATATACATCCTGGGCATTTGCACACCACTGTTCACGGACGCCCACCATGCCCCCAGACATGCCCAGCCCACATGGGCAGGCCCTTGTGCAGGGAAGCCCACAGGTTCCATTGAGCCCTGCACCCATAGCTGCCGAGGCACAGCATGAGATGGTCAGGCCATGCCCTCCCACGGTTCCCCACTCCTGGCGGGGGCACACATACCACATCGCTCTTGCTGGTGTAGACACGGTCCGCCAGGCTCTCGATGGCAATCCACTTGACTGGCATCTTGGCGATGCGTCCCTGGCGGTAGTAATCCCCATTGTAGATTTTCTTGGAGAGCCCAAAGTCCGCCACACACACGGACATGTTCTCATTCAGCCTGCCCGGATTGGGGAGAGAAACGGTCAGGATGTTGGCCACCTCCACCGGGATGTCTGCCCTGGCTCTCGGACACATTCGACCTCCTGCCCTCACTGTCCTGCCTGGGGATGGGGATCTGTCGCCTGCACAAACCCTTGCCCCAGTCCGGGAAGGAACTGCTTCACTTCTTGTTTCCTCTGTAAAATGACGATGGAACAAAGGCCTTCTAAAGGCCTTCCCAGCTTTGGCTTTTTAAAGTCCTTCCTAAGGCTCCTTGGGTTTGATTCTCTGATTGAAAAAAAAAAGTTTTCTCGAAGTATACTACACATACAGAAAGGTGCAGAAATCCTGAGCGATAAGTAATCCGGTGATAAGTGATAAGTAATTTAGCTCACTGAATTTTCACAAACACACCTGTGTAATCAGAACCCAGGTTAAGGAACAGAACATCCAAAAGATACCCACACAACGCAACACCACACAGCTAAGGAAAAGAACAAACCACCGATACGCACAACAACATGGATTAATCTTAAAAACGCTGTGCTGTGCCAAAGAAGCCAGACCACCAAGGAGTACAAACGCCATGATCCCACTTGTATGACACTTAAGAACAGATGAAATTTATGCTGGTGACAGACGTTAGAATAGTGGTTACCGTGGGTGGCGACTGAGAAGGGATATGAGCGAGTCTGTCGGGACTAAGACGTGCTCCTTACCTTGATCTAGTGGGGGTTATGTGGGTCTATACACATGTAAAAGTTCATTGAGCTGCATATATACAATGTGTATATTTTAGTGCGTGTAAAATATACATCAATTTTTTTTTAAGCATTAAAAAAGAAAGAAAGAAAAACCCCACATTACCAGTCTCCGGTGCTCCCTTCCAGTAAGTACCCTCCAAGGGTAACCACTGTCTTCATTTCTAACAGCATGGATTACTTTTGCTTGATTTTGTGCTGTATATAAATAGAAGATTCCCTGATTCTTGCATCTGACCTGGAGTTCTATGTGTCAAGAACCTTGATTAGATCCTGGGTCAGGATCTAATATAAAAGACATTTTGATGGACAACTGGAAGAGTTTGAATATGGCCTGGCTCTGGCCTACATCCTGCTTGGCTATTGGTGGGGAGTCTAGTCTCCTTATCCATTGGGGCCCCTCCCCAAGGGCAGCCCCAGGCAAGGCACTCAGCATGGAGAGGGACAGAGATGAGGCTCACACGTCACCACCCGCATCGGTCACCTCTGCCCCTTTGCTCACCTCATGCTGTGTGCACTGAGCCTGTCCTCTCCTCTCTTCTCTCTCCACATCCAAATACTCCTTCAAGATCTCACTTCATGGCCCACCTCCTCCAGGAGGCCTTCCCAGACCCCTTTGCTGACTTTTCTATCCCAGTTCTAAATTTTGACCTGCTCTGAGACAGTGTCTAGTCCCCTTTCCATCCTGGGAAGAAGGGAGGAAGCCCCCCTGGGAGTTGGAGGTGTGGGGGTGTCCCGGAAAGGCTGGCCACTCACATGCAGTTCCTGGCAGCCAGGTCCCGGTGTATGAATCTCTTGGTGCTCAGATACTCCATGCCACTGGCGATGTCCGCCATGAACTTCACTAGCATCTGAGTGGGCAGGAACTGGGAGGCCAAGGTTGGGGGGAACAGAGGTCAACAGAGGCCTCGAGGTCCATCTCTCCTCACTTCCTCCTTCCCTTTTTTCCTAGCTCTGCCTGCAGTGGTTTCCCATGGCTCTGAGAATTAAATCCAACCCCTTTGAGTGGACTACAAGGCCTTCTATAATCTCTGCCTGCCTTGATCTCTGATTTGATCTCCTACGTTCTTGCCCTTGACAGACACTCCCGCTAGGGGCCTCCTATCTGGTCTTCAGACAAGCCATGCGTGTTCCCTCCTCCAAGACTTTGCCTGTGCTATGCCCTCTGCTGGGGCTGCTTCCTGCCCAGAACTCCAGACTTCCTCCCAGCCCCTCCTCCTTCAAGGTCACCTCCTTGGCAAGGCCTTCCCTATCCACCCAAACTAACGGCTTGGCCTCCTTACCATTTATCCTACTGTATACATCCTTCCTATGACTTAAATGGTCTTGCTTGTGTCTTTGTGAGCTTGTTTATTGCCTGCTGCCCCCACTGTATGACAAGCTCCATGAGCGCAAGCTCTCGGTTACCCCGGCCTTCCTGGTGACCGAGCAGTGCTGGGTACCTGGTAGGTGCTCAATTAATACTTGTGGACTGGGTGATTAAAGGCCTCTCACCACTGGCTGGTCCCCAAGCCGGGAATAGAGGAGGAAACTGTGTAGGTCTCCGTGTTTCATGAAAGGTAAGATGACCACAGGTGCCGGGAAGCCCTCTCGTTCAGAACCCTGGAAACAGACACCTGAGCCCCCCGGGTAGCCCCGTCACTCCTGCTGGGGGAAGCCAAGCTACCCTCCCAGCCAGACTCCAGCCTCTCCCCCCTTCTGCTCAAATCTGGCCCCCACGTTGTTTTGGGGGGTGGGGGATGGCAAGGACCAAGCTTCAGAGAAGCCATTTCCAGCAGAGTTCCCAGGGATGTTTCTGGAGCCCTCCTGGGGAACTCAGCTATTTCTGGGAATGGTCAGAGGTCACATTCCAAGCTCAGGGAGAGTAGGAGGGAGGAGTCTGCTGACCCCCCGAAGGAGGGGGTAGCAGGGAGCCTGGAGGTTTGATTTTCCCAGTGCCAGAGGGAAGGGTGTTCCCTCTGGGGTGGCCCCCATGGGGCCTGGAGACCCCTCCACTCTGTCCCTCTCTCACCGATGAGCCTCATGACATTGGGGTGGTCAAATTCCTTCATGCAGACGGCTTCACTCAGGAAATCCTCCAGCTCCGACCTCGTGCAGATGGCAACTTGGGGGAGAGAGGACGATGGATGAGGAGGAGGGGAGGGAGGACTCTTTCCCTTCTCCTCCTCTCTGTCATCATCATCAGTATCTCATCTTCATCGAACACAATTAGTAAGTACCAGATGCTGTACTTAGTGCTTTACATATATTAACTCACTTAATCCTCTGAGATGCTACTATTATTATGCCCATTTTAAAGACGAGGAAACCAAGGCATAAAAAGGTTAAGGAACCTGCCAAAGAGCACACACAGCTCGGAAGTGGAATAGAGAGAACTGAAACCCGGGCAGTCTGGCTCCAGGGCCCACGTGCTCACTGCCACACTAGGCTGCTTCCCGGCACTTTCCTGCCAGCTCTAGGGACCCCATATCATTATTATCCCATTTCACAGCTCAGGACACTGCGGCTCATAGGGGCAAACTGACTTGCCCAGGGTTGCACAGCTGGGATTCAAACTCAAGTTGAGAACATAGTCTGGTATACAGCAGGTGCTCCGTAATGAAAGAATGAGTGAGTGGTGACTCTGTAGCCTGAGCTTTTAACTGCTGTCATTTGGCCAGGATCATTCCTCCTTCACCTCCAGCCCCAGCCTGACCCGCTCTGCTCCTCCCTCCCTGTGAGGAAAGGACTTGCTTGGCCCAGGACTTCCTGTGTGACCCTTCCTTTTGTGACCTTGAACTGGTTCCTGCCCTCTCTGATGATGTAAATAATGTGGCTGGCGTCCACGGTATGCCACCCCTAGCGTTTAGTGCTTTACAACAGCTCTGATCCTTTTTTCCAGATAAGGGAAGGGAGGCTCAGAGAGCGAGAGGCGCTTGCCTGAGATCATGCAGCTGGTGAATGATGCAGCCGGGTGTGCCTTGTTCCACACCTTCTGCTGTTCTGCTGTGTGTCAAGGGGGCTCACCCCTGAAAACTACATTTCCCAGGCTCCCTTTCCTACTTGCTTCCTGTTGGGATTTGCCAATGGTAGGCACCAATGGGAAACTGGCAGGTGACAGGGAAGAGGGGCGAAGCCAGGGTCTTTCACTCTCCCTCTCTCTGCCTCTGGTAGTAGCTGTGTCTCCCTTATGTTTTTAGCTCCCACAAAGCAGCCCCTAACTCTGTGGTCCCAACTCCTGCCAGGTGTCCCTGGCCACGGCTCTGTTAATACCGCTTTCTTCCTCTGCCCTTCAGTCTTTCCACCACCTTTTGTAGTAACCTCCCTATCTTCAATTCCTTCTGTTGAAATACCTGGCATGGGCTCCATTTCCCATCTGGAAGCACTGGGGTTCTATGCTGTGGCTAATTTGCCATTACTTCTCTGCTTTCCTGCCTCCTCAGGGGCACAGGGAAGGGGCTGGGGGTCCCACATGTGTGCACGTGCGTGCACAGACTCACTCTTCATCGTCTTCACAGCCACCTTGAGGACGGAGTCGTCCTGGTTGAGCTGGCCCTCCATCACGGCACCAAACTCTCCTGTGGAGTGCAAGGGAGACGTTGACTTCGAGTGGGACCTGTGTGGACTGTATTTCCTATAGTTGGATGAGGGTGGGGAAGTGAAGGATGTCAGGGTTCAGGAGGATGTGTGCATGCTGGGGGGACTCACCTTCTCCCAGGGTCTTCCCCAGGGCCACCTTGTGCCGGTCCACCATGACATCCCGTAGCTTCTCCTTCAGCTCTTCACTGATGCCCAGGCTGTTCACTGCACGAGGGGGGTAGTGGGGGGTGGTCAGAGCCATGGAGCAGGGCTGACATTCAGGTGACACTCACCAGTAGGGATAGACCCATTGTTGAAATACTGACATACTTCTGCGTTGGTTCAAAATTAGCTACTGCCCTGAGCACCTACCACCTCCACCCTAGCTACTCCTCTGGACCCCCAGAACCTTTCCTCAAAGCAGCAACTATAGTGTTAAGGCCTGGCCACAGTCTTGCTTCAGTGGGCACCCTGATGGGTCAGCATCCTGCTGTACCAGTTGTTAAAAATATTTCTTCTTTTTGGCTGGGTGCAGTGGCTCACACCTGTAATCCTAGCACTTTGGAAGGCCAAGACAGGATGATTGCTTAAGGCCAAGAGTTCAAGACTAGCCTGAGCAACATAGTGAGACCCCATCTCTACAAAAAAATAGAAAAATCAGCCGGATGCGGTGGCATAGGCCTGTAGTCCCAGCTACTTGGGAGATTGAGGCAGAAGGATCGCTTGAGCCCAGGAGTTTGAGGTTGCAGTGAGCTATGACCACTGCCCTCATGCCCGGGCAACAGAGTGAGAACCTGTCTCCAAAAAAGAAATTTCTTTTTACTGAAATATAATCTGCACAAATCGTAAGTAAGCAGCTCAATGGATTTTCACAAACCAAACCCAACTGTATAACTAGCACCCAGGTCAAGAATAGAACATGACCTGCTCTCCTAGGGGTAGCCACTTTGTGGACTTCTCTTACAATAGATTTGTTTTCTCTGTTTTGTTATAAAAATAGACAATAATAGAAAAATAAATGTCATAAAAATAGAATCACGTAGTATGTTCTCTTTTGTGTCTGGCTTCTTTTCATTCAACATTATGTGTATGAGACAGTTGTAATTTAGTTGTTGGGTGTAGTTATAATTTATTCATTTTCATTGCTATGTAGTAACAGTTCTCAAACAAATTGATCTCTGGAGCCCTTTACATTGTTCAAATTATCAACTACAAGGAACACTTATTTATGTGGGTTATATATGTGTCAATATTTTGCTGTGTTCAAAATGAAAACAGAAAAATTTTTAAAACACACAAGCACGTGTTCCGCCAACTGTCGGAGTGACCGATGACATCATCTCACGTCGGGCTCTGGAAAACCCCACTGAACGCTCGTGAGAGAACGTGAGCGCAAAAGGGCAAGTAACGTCGTGGTATTAGCTTTGACCTCATGGACACTCTGCAAAGGTCTCAGGGACCCCAGGGGACCCGGCTCACGCTTGGAGAACTGCTGCTCTCTGTTACTCTGTGAAATCGCTGTGACCTTGCTGCTGCTTCCTTCTCCCCTTAAGTAAATGTCTTTTCCAGCCCTTTCCAAACACCCCCCTGGGACCCCGGCAGCCTTCTCACTGTGTGCTAGTAAGAGACCCAGCTCTGTCCCTTTTCTTTCTGGGGTTCAGTTTCCCCAGCTGGCAAGATGAGGAGATTTGACTGGGCCTCCAAGGTCTCTCCTTAGCTGGGACCTTCCACCCCGCTCTATGGTCCTCTAACAGAGAGTCTACAGTTCTTAGATTTATGATTTTTCAAAATTATAAGAGTGTACAGTACCGAGCCTATCATTTTTCAGGCCAAGATTGATTCTTTTTTTTTCTTTTCTTTTCTTTTTCCTTTTAACCAAGATGGATTCTCTAACATTCTATTAATGTAATTCCAAGAGGCAGTAGAGTGTGGCAGTTAAGAGTAGGGACTTCAGAGCAAAACTGCCTGGGTTCAAATCCCAGTTTTCCAACTTACAAGCTGTGTGGCTTTCAGCAAGTTACTTAACCACTCTGTGCCACAGCTTCCTCATCTGTGCAGTGGGGATAACAAGTACTGGCCTCCTTGGGTTGTTGTGAGGATGAAATGAGGTGATATGTGTAGATTGCTTAGAATAGCACCTGTCATGTAGGCAGTGCTGTCATCATTGTCCTCATCATCACCATCATCTAATCTCAACATTGTCTCATCCTCATCAGCATTTTCTATTTTTTTAGTTGCCCGGCTAATTTTTTCTATTTTTAGTAGAGATGGGGTCTCGCTCTTGCTCAGGCTGGTCTTGAACTCTTGAGGTCAAGTGATCCTCCCGCCTCGGCCTCCCAGAGTGCTAGGATTACAGGTGTGAGCCACCGTGCCCGGCCCCTCATTATCATTTTCTTCATCATCATCATCTTCAACATTACCTTCACTATTACATGTTCTAAGATCCTGTGGTTTTGAGGTTTGGTCTTTCTAAGACTCACTGTGTCCAAGATTCTATTATTCTAAGGTTCTGTGTGGTTCCACAATTCTGTTGTTTCTAGGGTCTGTGGTTCTAACACTCTAGCATTGCAAAGCTTTCTTGTGGCTCATGCATCTATAGAAGCCTTAAAGGCCAGATTCTCTATACTCTATACTGCCCCGGACCAGGGCAGTGAGATATAGTATTCACTTACAGGTGGCTTCAGTGGTCCGGCGACTGTAGGACTTGCGGACGCGGTACCTGACCACTAGTTCACCTCTTTCGACTGTTGGCTCAAACACTTCTCTGGGGGGATGGAGAGAAAATGAGGGCAGGGAAAAGCCATGTGGAACCCCTTCCTTCCACCAGCAGGTAAGCAATTGCCATCCCAGCCCCAACCCTGACTGCCCTCTCCTCTAGCATTTGCTGAGCATGTCTTGGACTGCTCCCTTCTGTCTTCCATTCATTCCCCAACCCCTTGCCCTCAGTGCGATTCTTGGTCATCTTTCCTCCAGCACCAGCCTTCTCACTGGTCTCCCTGCCTCCAGCCTCTCCATCCCAGTCCACATAAGCCTCCCCATGTAGTTTCAACTCACCCATAGCGGGTCTCCTTCTTCCGCCGGTAGACAAGGAACAGGGCCAAGATGAGGATGCAGGCAGCGGCCACAACTGCTCCCAGCAGTACATACCACCAGGGCCACGAGAAGGCAGGAGCTGGGGGCTCACTCACTGTCGGGGGGGCGTGGGGGACAGGTCATGGCTAAGGCCCAGGATCCAGCTCCCTGGGACCCAAGGGAGTGATGTGGGAGAGAGGCAGGAGGCGTGGAAAAAGATGTGGACATACTTGATGAGGAGCCTGGGCTGGGCTGGACAGGGCATGCAATGGACGTGATGTGAGTGTGCGTTGACGTGTGAATAGAAGGAGTGTGAAACGTGAGTTGGGTGAGTTAAGAGTGGGATGGATATTTGAGGAGTGTTCAATGAGTGTGGAATGGGAGCAAGAGATGCGTGTGCAATGGGTTATGAGTGTGCAAGGAGGGCTAAGTGAACGTGAGATAGGTGTGAGTCAATCTCAAATAGTGTAGGTGTGTGTGAGATAGTGATGACTGGGCCAAGAGAGTGGCGTGGACAACAGGCAAGTAGAGAGGAGAATGCATGCAGTGTAGGCCGGTGCACGAGGCATGTGCAAGGAGTGTGAGGTTGGTGGGCAAAGGACTAAGGCGTACCTTTGAGGAATGAGCAATGACTACGAAAGAGTTTTCACAAAGCAAGGAGCAGATGACATGAACATACAAAGGGGCATGGTGCGGGATGGCTGTTGGAGGAGTTTGGGGTACGTGAGGAGGGAGGAGTAGAAATTCAAGGAGTTTTTGATACAGAGAGCGAGCAATGATTTTTAAGGATGTAGCTTCGGTGTGAGAGGAGTGCACAGAGAGAATGTAGAAGATGCGAGAAGGGCGGGTGAGGAGTATGGGGTGCATGGAAGGCAGCGCAGAAAGGGCAGGAGGGGCATGGAGTGTGTCAGGCCTGGAGAATGGTCATGTGCTGAGTTTACAAGGAGCTCGGTGTGAGTGTGTAGGAGCGAGAGGGGTTGGGACCTGTGAGGGGTGAGGGAGTGATGTCTAAGTGGTGTGGGATGAGTCTGCAAGGAGAGCTGTAGGGTGTGGGATGGTTGTGGACTGAAAGGTTTTCAGTGTCTGCAAGGGGGGATGTATGGTGAGTGTGTACAAGGTGTGCAGAGTTTGTGAAGGAGAAGTGTGAGTGTGCCATGGGTTCGGGAGGCATTGTGAGGAAGGAAGGATTATAATGGTACGTACATGGAAGGAGGGTGAGATGAGTGGAAAGAGTATGTGAAGAAATGTGGGAAGATATTGAGGAGTATTTAAGGACAGTGGGTTGAGTTACAAGAGGTGAGTTGTAATAGTGCCAGGAGGGTACAATGGGTGTAGGAGGAATGTTGGAGAATTGTTGGAGAAATATTTGAGAGGGATGGATGCAGGGAGGACACTCCATCCATCCATCTGTCCATCTGCCTATCCATCCCTCCATTTATCCATTTATCCATCCATACATCCACCCACCCACACGTCCATATATCCACCCATCCATCCACCCACCCACCCATCCATTCACCCATCCATCCATCTATCTATCCATCCATCCACCCATCCACTCACCCATCCATCCATCCACCCATCCACTCATCCATCCATCCATCCATCCCTCCATCCATCCACTCACCCATCCAATAATCTATCTATCCATCCATCCACCCATCCACCTTCCATATACCCATCCATCCCTCTATCCATCCACTCACACATCCAATAATCTATCTATCCATCCATCCACCCATCCACTCACCCATCCATCCATCCACCCATCCACTTATCCATCCATCCATCCATCCCTCCATCCATCCACTCACCCATCCAATAATCTATCTATCCATCCATCCACCCATCCACCTTCCATATACCCATCCATCCATCCATCCATCCATTCATCCATCCACCCATCTACCATCACCGAGTACCTACAATATGCTGGGCCATTCTAGGCACCCCCATGAAGGACCACACAAACCCAAGAAGTAGATTAGAGTGATGAGTTTGAGAAACATGAAAGGGATGTTGAATGAGTACATGTGGTGATGAGGTGCTCACTGGGTTTGAGGGGAGGGAGGGAGGAGAGAGGGTGCAAAAGCCCTTACCCAGCCGATGGACTGGCTGTCCTTGCCCTGTGAGGAGAAAGGACAGAAGGGAGACGTGCTCAGAGAGGGCAAGACTGGTGTGGCACGGGTGAGGGAGTGAGGCTACCATAAGGCTCAGGGTAGGAACAGAGCCTGGATTGGGGGGAAATTGAAAGGTACAAGGAGCAAGTCAAGGGTGTCAGGGAGAGGCCGGTCCTTGTGGGTACGCTGAAGCAGGATGAGCACGGCTTTGGACTTACCTGGGCGCCAGGGCTCCAGGGGCACAGGGAGGCTCCAGGGCCCATCCCCGGCAGCAGTATAGGCTGCCACGCACACCGTCAGGTTGGGCACAGGCCCATCCCCCCGCAGCTCCAGAGTCACCTCTCGCTTTAGCCCTATGTCCAGTAGCACCTAGGAGGTCCAGAGGTGGCATCAGGGTAGAACCCCAAGCCCCCAACTCTTCAGCCTTCACCCACCACCCATCTCTTTTTCAAAGCCCTCTCCCCATCCTCCAGTCCCTCATCCCCCTCCTCTACCTCCCCTTCATCTCTCACCCCCATCTTTTCATTGTCATCTCTATATCCCTTCTAACTTCCCTTCCCATCCTGTCCCTCCACCGCCGGGTGTCAGTAGCCCAGAGAGTGCCCTCGTGCAAATGAAGGTACTCCTTCCTCAAGGTGCTATACGACCACCTGCTATAAACTCGTTATAGCAAATACATAAATCTACTTAAATGCTTTTGCTGTGGTTCATACATAGCCATTTCCTACCCCCTCCTATGGACCCCCGTTAACCTCCCCAGCATATGCTCCCCCAGGAGTAGTGCAATTGTGTACTACCCAACCTGTGCAACTGTCCATGTCTGCCTTGCCACCTTCCCTCCCCATCTCCCTCCTCCCCCAGCAACTCAGCCCCAACCCGGGCAGCAGCACCCACCTCAGGGGTGTCCTGGCCTCGATACGCCAGCCGGTACCCTAACAGGGTGCCCTGCAGGGGCGCCCTTGGCTCCTGCCAACGCACGAAGGCCTGGCTCCCATTCCGCATGGCACTAACGTTCTCAGGGGGGCCCAGGGGCACTGGAGGACAGGGAAGAGGGGAAGCTGGCACCCCCACCTCTTCCTGACCCCCTCCCCTGTTCCCAGGAAGTGGGGGCAGGGTGCACAGGGCACGCGTGTGGGCAACTCGTGCAGGCCTCCCGCGAGCGGAAGCACAGGGGAGAGGAGGGCTGGGAGAGATGCCAGGGGGCCGCACAGAGGGGTCAGGGACTGGACGGGAAGGAGACTGAGGCCACGTGGGGTAAGGGGTGAGAGGAGACCCTGGGGGTGGCACTGATGTAGGCAAGGTCCAGCGGGGCAGTGGCGACGTCTCCCTCTCCAGCCCTTCTTACCTCCCTCTGGGGTCTCCACAGGAAGCCAGTGGGTCCAGGCGGAGGGGCCCTGGCTGCTGGCACACGCCACGCGGAGGTGATAAGGGGTGTGAGGATGGAGGCTGCCCAGCCGGAGTTGGTGGGGGGGCACGGATGCTTGCAAGGTGAGGGGCTCTTCTGGGGGGTCTGGCTCTCCCAGCCAGCTGCCCACCCCATCGTCTGACAGCACCGCCTGGGGAGAGGGAAGGGTGTGAGGACAGGACATCGACACCGTCACAGGAGGTGTCACACAACGCTCCACTGTGGTGGCCTTCGTGTGACTACACAACTTTGCAAGGATGTGTGTATGTGCACTATGTGCGCTGCAGCTCCACGCTAGGCCAACGTGGGCACCTGGATTTGCAAAGCAAAGAGACCCTACAGCTGCATGATGTGGCTCTGTCGCCACTTATAAAAGCCACCTCTGCAAGACTCTTTTCCCTCTCTGAGACTCAGTTTCCTCTTCAGGAAAACGGGAACTTAGAGGATCAAATGCCTTACAGGATTATTTAAAGATTAAATGTAGTTAGGCCTAAAGGATGCCACAGGGCATGGCAGGTGGTCAGCATGGATACTAATGATGACAGTAATAATACCGATAAATAAAAGTACCGTACTGTGAGATCCCGTTTATATGATATTCTACCACAGGCAAAGGCAACGTCCTACAGTAGAAGCCAGAAGACTGGTCATCTCTGGGGGCTGAGGGAGCCTTCCTGGGGGCTGGAAGGGTCTGTGTCTTGTTTTGGAGGGTGGTGACATGGCTGAGGATGCATGTAAAACAATCTAGGTGGACGCTGAAGATTATGCATGTTACGTATTGTCTTAACAACAAAAAAAAGAAAAACGTGTCCAACATTTACAGAGCACCTTTTATAAATTGAATTCATTTGACCCTCACATCAACCCTGTTGTACTGTGGTAGGTATTCTGTCTATCCCCATTATACAGATGAGAACACTGAGGCCCAGCGAGATGGAATCACTTGTCTAAGGTTACCAGTTTGTCACTGATGAAGCTGGGACCTGAATCCCACCCTGTCTCCAAAGCCTTTGCTCTACTTACAGTAACATCATTAACGGTAACAATATCTCTTGTCTGTCCAGAGAGGCAGTGCAGCCCAGTGCTGACGAGCATGGACGCTGGATCCCGGGCTCAAATCCAGCCTGTACCATTCCCTACCTCTGTTCCTCAGTTTCCTCATCTGTAAAATGAGATAACAACAGTGGCTCCCTACTTTGCGGGGTTGACTGGATTGGGGCGTGTACGCGTTTAGAAGACCGCCTGTCATATGGAGTGTTTGTCATTATTATTTTACGGATGTATGAGGTTGCCTGGCAATAAGTGCCCAACTCTGCACACCTCTGCACGGTGGCACAGGCTCAGAGGCATACCTTCCTGGTCCCCAGGAATGGCATGATCAGGATGGAGGAGGCCACAGCACCTGGCCTTCAACCTAAAGCCCCCGACCACACTGCCACACAGCATGTCAGGAAGGGCTTTACTACTTAAGAGTGTGGGTTCCGAAGCCAGATCCCATGGTCTAAGTCCTAGTTTGGACGTTATTTGCTGTGTGACCTAGAGTGAGTGTCTTAACTTCTCTGAGTCTCAGTTTTTGTCTGTGGAAAATGGGCATCACAATCCCTACTTGTCAGGATATGAGGTTTAATAACACGATCCATATAAACTGGTTTGCG